CGTACGATTGCAAAATGACTTGAGAAGGCTCTTTGAAGAAAATGCTTTTAGAAGAGAGAAAATGTTTAAAGATTTGGAACACTGGAGCTCTTTATGATTCGAGCTTTTATATGAGTAGTCTTTGGTGCAACTTGTGTGGTGAAAAGAATAGGATCATTCTTTTTTGGCATTAATGGTTAAGCCGATAGCTTATAGTGATCTCGCTATCATTCTATCTAACTCTGTGATGATGTTAGTGCTATCATAATAAGTCATAATTTGATTGATATCATTATATGAGAACATCTTCATTAAATGTTTTGTCTCCCTTGTGATAATAGTGGAAAATGAGGTTTTTTTTTCCTAAGTTAGGGCATTTTAAGATAGAAGTGTTCCTTAGTTTTTCTTGAAAATAGCTCACTTTGTAAGGGATAACCGTCTCTTAAAGACTTTGGACCCTTCTAATTAGTTATTATCTCATACTCGTGACTTGTGGCTTGAGTTGGACTCGATAGATTTAGTTTTGTGTGCTTATAGGCTCTTCTTATTACGAGTGAACAAAAATGATATATGTCACTCGAATCTACCATAATCAATAGATATTATCTTGGCTTAATCTATCGAGTTGCAAAATAAAATCTCTAAATATATGAATTCTAATTCTAATAAATATATGGATGTAATTGTATTTTTAAAAATCATTTGAAAAAAAAAATAAACTGGATTCATTAATGTAAAAACTAATGAAAATACCTTTGATGTTGGAAAAAAAGAAAAAAAAATGAACCCCGAATTTGAATGTCAATAATTAGTAATACACTAAAAGACATGTGAGTTTTGAACAGTTTATCACTATTAAGAAATTGTTCACTTATTGCTCACATCCTTTTGTTTTTTTTACTTGTTCACATCCTTTTTTTCCTCTTTTTTTTTTTTTTTTACTGTTCACTTTTTTCTTTTTTATCGTTTTTTTGTTTCAAATTATTGTGAATACATGCCTTTTTTTCTTTGTTTTTTTCCCATCAAGTTAGGTTCTTTTTAATTTTTTTAAAAAATTTTAGGTTGTTTCATTTTGATCTCTTAGGTTCTTTTTTTTATTTAATTTTTTTAAAAAAATTTAGGTTATTTATTTTAATCTCTTAGGTTTTTTATTTATTAAATTTTTTTTTAAAATTTTCTGGTTATTTCATTTTCGCCTCTAAAATTTAAAATAAAAATTTTAATCCTCCATCCGATGCATTACTCATGCCTTCTCTTTCTTTCCTTTTTTTCCTTTGCTTGTTTTCATCAATTGATGTTCTTTTTCTATTCAATTATGTGTTTTTTAAAAATAAATCGTTGTTTTTTTTCCACATAAACTAATGATTATATAACACTACTCATGTTTTTTTTCCTTCGCTTTTTTTTTCCCATCAATTTATGTTTTTTTTATTTAATTAGATTTTAAAATTTTAAAAAATCAATAATTACTTTTTCACATAAACCGATGATTATATAATATATACGATATTTTTTACATTTGTATGATATGTTTTTAGATTTTAAAATAAATACAAACTACTTTTATTGTATAAAATTGAGTTTTTCGATAAAAATTCTCATCAAGTTAATTTTTATTCTTATTTTTTTATAATTTTATTTATTAATAAATATGACTTATTTTCTCTATTTATGGATTTGAATAATTTTTTTTAATACCTATGTTTATTTACTTGATTCACATATAATCAAATTTTAAAAATTGAATATATGTATTTTATTTTCTTATTTTTTACGTAATTAAATTTTATCAAAATCAGTTTTATAGTTTTTAATGCACTCTATTAACTTCGGTATATATTTTACCATTTAAATTTTTAAAATATATTTTAATTTATTTTATATATTTTCAGCTATTGAGTACGGCCATGATGTATCAAAAATAATAACATTAGAGTAATTGATATTATTAGAAATCAACTATACATCTACACACATAATACCAACTATTTGCTTGTTATTATTTTAATATTTAAAATAATATTTTAGAATAACTGTTTAATAATTCAAATACAATTTTATATACTAATATTATTCATTATTTTGTGAATATATATATATATATATCAAATGTATATATTTTAAAAAATAATCTTCTCATCGGTAAAAAGTTTCATTTTTTAATTTTTATATAAGTTTTTATATAAATTGTTGATTTATTTCTTCGATGCAATGGAATGAAAAAAATATTAAGATGTTTTTTCTTAATTTTATATTAAAAATTTTTTATTTTGGTTTTATTTAAAAATAAATACATAAGAAAGAAAAAATCATTTTTTTTAGTTCAAATATATATATATATATATATATATATATATATATATATATATATATATATATATATATATATATATATATATATATATATATATATATATATTGATTAAAAATTATAAAATTATATGAAAATTTATCTGTTATATTTAATTTAATATATTTTAATTAAGCGATAACATAATATATGTTATCAAACTGAAATAAATATGTTTAATTTGATCCATGACGATAGCGTGAGAATTTGAATTATTCATATATCTAAAATTCTTATTCACTCACTATTCATATGCATAAAATTATTATTCACTTGATGACAATTCAAATAATTTTTGTTTTTCGTTTTTTTGTATATTTTTGAGCACTAATATGCAAGTTTAACACTTTTTTCTATTTTTCATCCCTTATATTGTAACATTTTTTTTTCAATCCTTAGTTTTTATTTTTTTATTTTTAATTTTCACATAGCAAACATACATAGACACACACACATACATACTATCTTTTAATATTTTAAAATTAACATATACTTCAACTTATATTACTCTTATCATTTAAATTTCATTATTTGAATTTATCATTTTTTATGAAAATTCTCATTCAATTAATATGTTTTATATAAGATTTTATTTACTCATAAATATAATTTATTTTTCCCTATGTTTGAATTTTAGAATAAAATTTTAAAACATGATTGTTTTTTCTTTTTAAAAAATAAATTAGTAATATATATATATATATATAGTATATATATATATATATATATATATATATATATATATCATAAATTCTTAGAATTTTTAAATAATAATTACGCATATAAAGATATATAATTATTTTATTCGAAAAGATTAAAAATGTATTTTAAATAATTTATCTCGGTTTACTAGATATGGTCAAAACATATAAAAAAAATGTTAAATCATTGATTTTATTAAAAATTAATTATACATCTTCCAACATGATACAAATTATTTTTTATGAATAATTTTTTTAACATTATAGAACGAATTTATTTGTAATAAAATAACTAAAATGATTTTTTACAAGAACCAACCAATTATTCAAATATAGTTTTTTATGCTGATTTTGTTGATTATTTTGTAAATAAATATACATAGATCTAACGGATACATTTTAAAAAAATAATCTTCTCACCCAACATGAAATAAGAATAAATTTTTATTTTTTTATTGGTTAATTTTTATGCAAGTTTATACATCAATTGTGACTTTATTTTTTGGATACATTCTTATAAAAAAAAATATAATTTTAAAGTATTTACTTTTGAATTCTTAATTAATATTTCAAGTTTAAATTATTATAAGTTTTTATTTAAGAATCCTTAAATAAGAAAAAATAAACCATTTTGTAAGCAAAAAATTATGAAAAACACAAAAAAAATGTAATAATTAAATAAAAATTTTAAATATTTTTTTTATTTACCCGTAGCATTACACGAATAATTTCAAAAATTAATCTTCCTATTATCATTAAATAAGAATGTTTTTCATTTGTTAATTTTTTTATAATTTTATTTTTTGGAATACAATATTATGAAAATTATATTTTTAAAGCTTTTTAATTCTTGATTAATATTTTAGTTAAAATTATTATATTTTTTTATTTTAAAATCAATACATAAAGATGAATGATTTTTTTTTTTTTAAGCCAAAAAACTATAAAAATTAAGAAATAGAGTGATGAGAATGTAAGAATCGGAATGAAAATTAAGAAATTGGAATGGTATTTGTATTACAATACCGTGTTTGGAATACTAATAAGGAATCGAAATGCAATTTAAATTTTTTTAATATCTTGTTTTTTGTACAAATAAAAATAATGATTAAAAAAATAATTTTATTAAACTATAATGGTTGTAAAAATAATAAAAGTGATGGTAGTGATTGTGGTTATGATAGTGGTGATTCTAGTTATGGTTATGGTGGCGGTAATGATTGCGGCAGTAGTAATGACGATGGTAGTTGTGATGGTGATAATGGTGGTGGTTGTGATAATGATGATGATGGTGGTAGTGGTTGGTGATAGTTGTGACGAAGGTAGTGGTGGTGGTGGTGATAATGGTAGTGGTTGTGATAGTGGCGGTGGTGATGGTTGCGGTGATAGTGGTTGTGGTTGTGATAGTGGTGATGGTAGTTGTTGTGATGGTGGTTGTCTTGGTGGTAAAAGTAATTAATAAACAATAAATAACTAAAATATATTATTATTTTGAAAAAAAATCGTTCTCATTTCTTGTTTTTATTCCCACATAAGATGTGAGAATGAAGTTGTGTGTAAATTTTCATTCACATTCTCACTTCATTCCTTTTAACCAATCAGCTATAATGTGAGAATAAAACTTCCATTTTTATTCACATCACTTTATTCATAATTATTAAACAACACTTAGATAAACTTAATTAAATAAAAAATTTTAAAATTTTAAAATAATTTTTTTTATCAAATCTGCAACGTGCACAAATTACTAGTAATATATCGAAACTTAAATGGAAGAATATTTAATGCGTGTACGAAAACTTTATTAAGAATACATTAATCTTAATTAAAAAAAGAAAAAAACAAAAACAAAAACCTATAAAAAAGACACCATCCCGGTTCCAAGAAAGCCTTTCTTCCTCTTCTAATCTCAAATTCCGAAGTTATCGTGTATCACAAAAAACGAAATCAAAACAAAACGCTAAAAAGCCATGAAAATAAATCTGTTGTTAGTTGTAGCAATAACAACGTTAGTGGCAATCCTATCAATATTCCTGAGGAGTCCAACTGATCTCTTTGGACCACCCACCATTCCAACATCTCATGACAATCTTCAGTCTGCAAAGATTCTTCATGTCAATGGGGCTGTAGGACCAGAGAGCTTGGTTTTTGACCCCAATGGAGAAGGACCCTATACTGGTGTTGCTGATGGCAGAATTCTCAAATGGGTTGGAGGAGATGATGGTATTGGAAGCTGGATTGATTTTGCTACCACCACTTCTAATAGGTAACACCACACGAAACAAACTTTGTATCTTTTCTTGTTTATTGGATAATTTTTGCTTGGGATATAAGAAGATAGAGGTGTTCGGTTTGATTGTAAGCAAATGTCTTCCTCTTTGAACAATGGAGAAATGCTTTTAGTTAAAAAAATGACTCGCAGTGTACTTTGTTGCTTTTGGAAATTTATAATTCCATGAAGGGTCAAAGTCATCTTAGCTCAAATTTGTGACCTTTTATGTTAACTAGGGTTCCTGCTTAGCTTATGTTGATTGGAATTGCAGTTAGCACCTTTTTCTTGTTATTACAACACATCCTGTCAAAGACTGTTAACTGGATATCTGAACATCAGTTGCTGTTATCTCTGATTGTATTTGTTTATCAACAAATAAAAGATTCATTTCTGTTCAAGTAGAGAGCGAATTTTATTCCATGAGCCATGAATGCGTAGTTTTTTACAGGAGGAAAATTGTTCCAGAGTTTCCTCAAAGGACTGTATTTATTTTTAGAAAACACATGTCGATGCCCATAATTGTTGATTTAGTTTACAGGTTGTTCAACAATCTATTCACATAGAGCTTGCAGCTCCTCCCTGCCTTTCCCCTTGTCAAGCAACTTAATCGGTTGTCGTTTTTATCTAATTGATCAACTGCTTACATGTGTTGCCGAATTGAAATGTGGTTGCTGGCTTTGGTGCCTAGTTTAAATGAGGTGATACTGTAGTAGTACCCAATTGTGTATAAAGTGTAAGCTCCTCCTGTTCCATGGATAGGGAGCACTTGCCATCGGTAATGTAGACTGGATTATTTTTTCTGCATTACTCTTGATAATGTTTCACGTTTTTCTGACTCACTGTAACACTCAATTTGCAAGAAATGAGTGCGTTCGCCCATTTGCACCTGAAATGGAACATGTCTGTGGACGGCCATTAGGACTAAGGTTTGATAAGAAAACTGGAAATCTCTACATTGCTGATGCCTACTTGGGTCTTCACGCTGTTGGTCCAACTGGAGGTTTAGCCACACCAGTTGTCACTGAATTTGAAGGCCAACCCTTGCGTTTCACCAATGATTTGGATATTGATGATCAGGAAGATATGATTTACTTCACAGATACAAGCACAGTCTTCCAAAGAAGGTAATTTAAGCACAAAGCAACAAACACTTGGCTTCCTTTTATAGGTATGAATGCTGTGTTTAGTTATGGTTTCTTACTGTCACTTTTAAAAATGTGTGTATGTGTGTGGTGGTATGCGTATTTTGGCTTTGGCTTTAACTTGATGCTATTTATAGACTTGAGAAAGCTGTACCATTAGGAAACAATTACAAGAAAGTTCATTGAGGATAATATCTGTTGAAATGCAAATATTTTAAAATTCAAGCTGTAAATGGCCTTTGAGTTTGGGCATTTTAGATGTCAAACTTGTTGCGTAGCTATGAAAGTGAGTAATGTGAGACTATTGTAGAGAACCTAAGTGGCTTTCCATAGTTACAGCGTCCAAGTTTCATTTAAAGGAGATGCCATTTGCTATTTAAGTGGGTCAGAAGTGCGAGATTGAAGAGGTAACAGGGGACCGGCCCTTTTATTTTCTTTATGCCTTTCCTAGCAGAGAGGTCTGGTTGCATTAAGACTGACCTTTTGATTTTAATTACCTCTACTTATTGCATTTAGAAGTTACTTGGTGGGACAGAAGTATCAAAAAACTCCATTCTTCTATTTGTATCTTCAGAATTCTTTTTTTATTTTTTTCCAAAAACACATGGTGGTCTGTTCATTCAATCTTTTTTTTATATTTTTTGGCAGACAATTTATGTTATCACTCTTGAGCATAGACAAGACAGGTAGGTTACTGAAATATGATCAATCAAGCAAAGAAGTATCAGTCTTAGCTCGAGGCCTTGCTTTTTCCAATGGTGTAGCATTGAGCAACGACCGCACCTTTTTGCTAGTAGCCGAAACCACCACTTGTCGGATTTTAAGGTTTTGGCTTCATGGCCCTAATGCTGGAAAGTCTGATGTTTTTGCTGAGCTTCCAGGATTCCCCGACAATATCCGAAGGAATAAGAAAGGGGAGTTTTGGGTAGCTTTGCATGCTAAAAAGGGACTTTTTGCGAAGTTGGTGCTTTCAAATTCATGGATTGGGAAAACGTTGTTAAAACTTCCACTCAGCTTTAAGCAACTGCACTCACTGTTAGTAGGAGGAAAGGCACATGCTACTGCTATAAAGCTGAGCGAAGAAGGAAAAATTGTGGAAGTTTTAGAAGACTGCGAAGGAAAAACGTTGAAGTTTATTAGCGAAGTGGAGGAGAAGGATGGGAAGCTCTACATTGGTTCAGTACTAATGCCTTTTCTTGGCACTTACAATTTGTAATGAAAAAGTTTTCCACAAAGCTACTCTGCAAGGACGTTACTCCAAATTTCCTTCTCATTTCGCTGGTTGATTAGAAAATGACTAAAGCAATAAAGAAAGAAAAGAGTGAACAGGCACTCTTATCCTTTTCATTTGCATGCCTTGCCATTCTCTCCAGGTTTTTGTGATTCCTTTGTATCAGATTTTGACCAAAATGTAGTCAGAAACAAATTTAAACCGCTCTTGGGCCATTGGCATGCTCAATCCATGATTTCCCTATACTTATTTTACTGTTATTTAATTTTTATGTTATTTTTGCTTTATTTCATTTTTGTTTTGAATTATTTTAGAAAAAAAAAGTAAAAATAAAAATACAAAAAAAGAAAATATATAGTGAATATAGAACCTCTCCAAGATCATTCGAAAATCTGTCCAAATCTTTCATTGATCTTTTTTTGAATTTGAATTTAGCACTAATCCATTCCCTTCTTTTTAGCTAATCAAATGAGATTTAACAGTTGAAATTTGAGTTTGAAGGCTGATTTTCGGAGAGATGTCAGCAGGTTTTGGCCTATAAAAGCTTTTGGATTTTGGTTTGAAAGGGGGGACAGCCACACAGGAAGCCACAAAAGGGCCTCCACAATTCCCCGATTCTCAAAAACCCTAAAAAAAAAAATAAAAAAAATAAAAAGCATGTTCTTTTTCTTTCTGTGGATGTGGCTACGGAGGTGGGAGGTCTTGAAGAACCATGGCAGCCATCCTTTTTCAGGGAAGATCCAAGTTTCTCCAGCCTCACGGTTTCCCCTTCATAACAGCAGCCTCCCTGAGCTCCTCAACTTCATAAGTCAATAGCAGCTACGCCACCAGATCAGTTGAACCCGTACTGGAGCATAGCCATACCATATCAAATACCATCCAAATAATCGCCTGCAATCACGGTCACCACCAACCTCACACCCTGAAGTCAATAGAAGAGATCTACCTCACCAGCTCCTCCCGTCCAAACAAAAACACCAGCAGCCACCACACCAGACCATATGGATGATTTGCCCTTCAAATGGGGAAATATGGCCGATGCAAAGGTGGTCACTGATAGAGATGCTGGGACGTCTCATGGATCCAGGTTTGTTAGTGTCAAAAGAAACGAAAGAAGCAGGGGAAGGGAGGATGGGAGGTATTATCTTTTAATCTTGTTAATTGTTTGGTTAAAAAAGTCATAGGATTGAGGTTTGCTCTTGTTAAAAATAAAAATGGAAAAGGGCTGGAAGTCCAGCCCGTGGGAATGCCAAGCGGGCATGGCCCAAAGCTTGGGCTGGTTTCATCGCAGCCCAAGCTCCAGTTAAAAAGAAAAAGAAAAAGAAAAAGAAAAGGGGGAAGGAAAAGGATATGGGTCTGGCCCAATGGGAACATGGCCCACCAAAAAAGAAAGCCCAATGTTTTTTTTTTTTTATAGATATTGTCTTAAATATTTATTTATGCATGTTTTATTTATTGTTTAATTTAGATTTAAATATTTTGGTTTCCTTGAAAATCTTATTCGGTAATTTTTTATTATTAATTTTAATTCCTAAGTCATATTTCATAATTAGTTTACGTTATCAAATGATAGATGAATTTTCGAGCCACCTGATTTTTGGGGATTGATGACGGTTTTCTATCAACAAAATAAAAAATGATAAACATAAAAATAAAAAATAAAAATTCTCAACGAAGTCTCCTATCCGACGAGACTATTGTTTGACCAAAAAATAAAAATAATAAAAATTTTCAACGAAATGTCCTATTTGATAGGGACTCGTCGTTGACAAAAATCATCATTCAATAATCGGGATATTCTCCGATACATCGGTTGTGTCGAAGCTTCGAGTGAATCGATGTTTGAATTAACGTGTTACTTGACGAAGGGGATCGACGATCATTTCAATATGATATCACATCCAAAACTAGAAAAAGTTAATTTGACTTGGACAATTTAGAGTTTAAATCGAAAATAACTTGACACAAATAAAAATGCTTTAGAAGATAAATTTATGACTAAACTAGATGTGGTACCTTTTTTAGGAAAAAACGTCTTTCGGTGATCGATATTTTCCAAAATTGTAACCAATTTCTTACTATAGAATCTTTAAACTAGTGTTATTTTTAGGTTCCTAGTTTCTTAATATTAGATGACAACTCCGAACTTGTAAATAAATCAGTAAATAAAATCTAACGTTGTAAATAAGAATTTTTTGGAAGTTCAGTCCAACATCAAGTAACTCCTGGTACAATAATAATGTTAACAATTAAGAACAAACATGGCAATAAAATTCAATATTTCAAATAATGTACATTAAATAATTAAATTCTATATATAAGATCATTCAAGTTTTTTTAAATGTATACTTTATATATGATTAAATTTAAATTAAATGATATATATATATATGTTTTAAGGATTTAAATAATTTGAGTTTTTTTGATAAAATATTTGTGCTTATAAAAAAAAAAACTGGAGGGAAAAATGATATATAGAAAAGTAAGTTGTACTATTTTTCACTTGATACACTTATTTATAGGTGAATATTACAAATAATTATAGATTATAAATTTAATATGGAATAAATACATTATGTATAAAATAGTAAATTGAGCATCATCCCCATTAAATTACATTCATAAATGATAGTAGAGAATTGAACCATGATAAAAAATATGAATGATTATAAAAAAATAAAAATAGTTATAGGCATTCATTATGAATATTTATTATTTTATAACATAAATAGATTATTTTTATCTGTCAATATTTTATGCAACGGAAACCTCTCCATCGGGCAGACGTAGAAAGAATCACATTAAACTTTGCTTTAGATCCATCATTTATTATTCTGTACACATGGACGCAGTTTGGAGAGTTAGAACCAAACTGATCCATTGAAAATGATCAGAAGTACACTTGATTCGGCTGTTCAAGCCCATATTGCCATGTAGCATCTTTAAAATTCATTTGTCAAAAGTCTTTACTGTAATCCAGTGCTGACTTTCTACATCAAGGTGCATGTATCATTATAGTTCTGTTAGAGAAGTCATTGTCTTATCGATTTATTTCGAATATTTCATGCCAAATTGCATGAAATCATAGCCCACAACTCAGTGAAGGTTTGGATATCTATTTGGAAATGCCACGTTCAAAATCCTAAAAAAAGATGGGGTGAAATTTAGAAGGGAAATGTTAGATGAATTAATTTTTTTTAAAACTAAATTTTGTTTATTATATGATGTGGTATCTATTATTACAAAAAAAAAAAAAAAATCATGAAATGTAGATTTTATCATATTTAATGGGATAATAAGTTTACGTTTGAAAAACAAATAACCAATTGGTTCTATGATGCTTTTATAACATCAATAAGTCCACTTTTCAAGTTTTTCTTTCAAATACATTCATGTTTTGTTATATTTCCTATAATATTAACACAATATATTAAGAGTTTGGTATTTATGTTTCGTAAACTAAGACTATCGTGACTCATTTTTCTTTTTAAAACTATGATTTACAAATATGGAAAATTAAATTTGTCTCGTTTTTTCCATCATAATTACATTTGAATCTTTTTTTAAAGTTAGAATAATAGTAATATAAAAAAAAAATATTTCAAGTTAGAGAAAAATAAATATTTTAAAAATTGTTATCATTTTTTTAAAGCAAACTGTAAAAAGAAAATAAAAACAAGTTGAATGGTAATTAATTTTTTAAAATATACATGGAGGATAATATAGATATCACGATACTTTCTTGAAAGATAAATTATAAAAATAAACTTATTTTGCAGATAATATAAATAAACTTTCTTGAAAGATAATATAAATAAACTTTCTTGTAATATATATATATAAGTTGGATAGAAGCAACCCAAGAAAGGTTATAATTAAATTTCTCGAAAGATATCATCGAAATTAATTTATATATCAATCAGACACTAAATTTTGCAATAAAATAAGATACAATTCACATCATGCAATAAATTTGCTTTTGATGAAAATAAAAGAAAAGAATTGCGTATGAGACAGTATCATGTCTTTTTAATTTCAGTTTCGTATGCAATTCATTTTGCATTCCAGACGCTAGTAATGTGTACTTAAGAGCGGAGGAGCTTGCCATGCCACCCCAAAGTTTTACAATCTTTCAATTTGCTCCTTAAATTTTATTTTTTTACATAAAAGTGTTCATTTGGCCCCTTCGAGAATAATTTATTTCATTTTATGATTTTGTTTTGTTGCAACTTATTTTTAATTTTATCCTTAAAATTCTAACTCTCCTTTTGATGACCCAAACCGAAAAAACGAAGGAATATTTTCCCAGATTGTTCAACGTCTAGTAGGAAGAGGAAATTATATTCTGAAAGTACAGTTATTAGTATTCTTTTTATCTTCGAAGCTACTCCTTTAGTTGTTCAAAATAATAATAATAATAATTATTATTATAATCATAATTATTATTATAATTGCTCCCAAATCCCAATTGCCTCGTCTACGTACCTAGACAAATGAATATTTCGTGAACATAAAAAGCAATACCTAACGCATGGATTTTGGCATTTAGCTTGCATAATTAATTGGGGATATATATAAGGTATCTCACATTGTTAAAAGTCCTAACCACAAATTAAGATTTGTAGTCTTGTCATCTAATTGGTGTTTAAAACTTGTCTCTCATTCTATGTATTTGGTTCTTGACGTCCTTGATGGCCTAATTAAATCTCCTTCCCAATTCTCTTCATTTTCTCCCACAGCCAATATGAGCTCAAAGCTTTTCATAACAGCAACAATTCTAGTTCTAATCTCTGCCTTAATTGCAATTGATCATGAGTTTTTGTATCAGCGATCTGTTAGAGAAAAAACTTCTAGTGGTCATGACCAACTTTGGAAATGGGAAGCTCTTTCACTTGACGGTGCAACCGGACCCGAAAGTTTTGCATTCGACCCATTTGGCCAGGGTCCCTATGCCGGAGTAGCTGACGGTCGAATCATCAAATGGGAAGAACATGAAAGGCGTTGGATCCATTTTGCCATCACGTCTCAAACAAGGTAATATATATATATATATATATATATATATAATGCATGCATCTGCGTTTTTTTCTTTTTTTTTCTTTTTAACAGTCAGGATATCCTAATGTCAGCTTATGGTGTCTGTAAATGTTTTGATTCGTTCACTAATATTTCGATGGTTTTTAGATTTCGTAGGGGAAACTTATTGGATAATGAAAGAAAGAAGGAAAGGTATATGAAGAACATAGATTAGTGAGGGAGACGACGCTAGCTATTACATGTCTGGCTTAGATTAATTTGATACCAGCTAATAATGTTTTGTGACCGGTCAGAACAATTAGTTTTAGAGTTGCTGTCATTAATTAATCAATCAGTACTTAACCCAATCACATTCTGACAACAAGCTTTGTTTGAAAATGCCGACTCAATAGTAATTAATGGTCTTAGTTTGTCCTTTTATAATAAAATAAATGTTCAATAAATATTTATATTATAAATGAGTGAATTATATTTTTATAATTTAAATGAATTTTCAAATCTAATTTTTTTCTCAATAAAATCATAAAAAAATATCATATAATTCGAACTTAATGAATTTTATTCCGAAAATATCTCTCAAATAAATATGCACGTGCAAATTACCAATTTATCACCACCTTTTCTCCACAAGTACCAAACCTTTTTCTTTTTTCGTTCTCTTCTCCCCCAAAAATCCAGCCAAAATCATTCCAAAATAACCAATACAATCACTTTTTCGACCATCTCCAAAACCTTCATTTTTATTTTTTTGACCAAAAAAAAAAAAAACTTGCATATTTCACTTAAAATCAAGTCATAACTTATCAATCTTCACCTTTGATCTTAAAAACCAATCTTTTCCACCTTCTGTTCATCCTTTTTATGCCAATATCGAGTCCTAACCTCAAACACATTTTAGTCATCAAAATTCAAGACTAACACCACCAACTTATAACTTTTTAGAGTAAATTATAAATTAGTCTTTTTTGTGTTGAAAAATAAATTAATCAGTGCTTCTTGTTGGAATCAGTATCAATATACTATATGATGTATATTAATTGGCCAATACAATTCAATGCGTGTTTAGTAACATTTTTACAAAAAAATATGTTTGGACTTAAAAGTATTATTTTGATATATCTGTGTGTTTTTCAATAGTTTTTATATTTTTCATATTAAAATTATCCAAAAACATTAAAAAAATATATATACATATCGTTTTTAAATACGTTAAAATACATTACCAAGCAGAGTTTCAACTTTCAATAGTTGCACTCGCGGAAATTGCATGTATCTTTCCATACATACATACATACATACATACATACATACATATATATATATATATATATATATAATAAAGAAAGAAAGAAAAATTGTTCACTCAAATTTAAATCAGTAGTCACATAAGAGTAAGTCAAATTATGAATTAATGTCTAGGCTGTTCTTGCTGTTGTAATCCAAAAAAAATAAATAATAATAATAAAAATAAAAATAAAAAATAAACAAACAAACAGATACTATTTATATAGAATTGTATTTGAACATTTTTTTACAAAATAGAATTTTTTATAAAATAGATTTTAATTAAAAGTATTTTTTAAAAAATACATTACTTAAAGTTTAATTTTAACAAGACAAACATTTGATAAAAACTATAGAGGAAAAACAAAATCTTGAAATCACATAAATGGTGGATTGACTTGGTCTATCTTCAATGCCATTTCATGTAATATCGCTCTCGTTAAAAAATGATCGGCTACAAAAATTCAAATCACGTGAGTTCTGACCATTAATTATTGTCCTCAATCGATTATACTCTAGTTAGAACAAGGTCAAACTTCACTGAGAATAATTGAGGACGCATCAACATTATTTTATTTTATTTGATTACATGTACGGGGTTTAGCATATATTAAGAGTAACGAAATGGAACAAGGCAAACATTTGATAAAAAACTATAGAATTGTATTTGTTAAATTCAAACTGTCATTTTTTTTTTTTGTAAAATTCAAAATCAAATAATTAACAGAGTAAAGTAAAAATTAATCCCTCTAGTTTTATAAAACAATTTAAATAATTCTTTTCACTTCAAAAACTAACTAATTAGTACTTTAATATGTGTTGATCATGATAAGTTTAATATTATTTTGTCTTAAAAAATCATCTTTTTCATCAATTTTTTACTTATTTTTTTCTTTTTCTACTTTTAAAAATAAATTAAATTGAAAAATAATAAAAATGATTAAATTACAAATAGATTTAAAAATAATTTTCTTTTTCTATTGATTAAAACAAAAAAAATTGAAAAATAATGAAAGAGTTAAATTATAAATAGATCTAAAAACATAGGCATTAAGTAATTAGTTATTAAAACTAGATGGACTATTCAAATCCTTTTAAAAAGCTGGAGGGACTAATTTATGATTCACTCGTAATTAATATGATTAAAAAGAGCAAAAAACATGATTTATTAACCTGATTAATAAATTATAAATTTTAACCATAAGGTCGTTGGTAAGTAAATATTGACTTATAAGTCAAGTTCGAATTCGATCTTTAAGGTTAATATTCCTTAAAATAAGTTGATATGGAGATATCCTTGCTGCTAAATAAAAAAATAATGCATAAATTATAATTATTTTTCTCCTAGAATCAATAATTAAATTAAAAATATGATCCATTATATTCTTTTCAAAACACGACAAATATATATGGATACAAATGAATTGTGGGTGGCGGGTGAGATTCATAAAATCAATCCTTTTTTATTATATTCTTTGACCTTGTCAAAATCATCTGATTCAAATCTAATAATGGTAAGGTTGGGGACATCATCAATTAGGGTGTTATTTATTATTATTTTTTTCAAATACATTTACTACACACTAAAGGAGAAAAATTGTACCTGGTTACACTCACATGAATTAATCTGGAACGATATGATCACATCCATGTAAGGGAGAAGCTTGGTAATCTTTGATAATTTATCTAGTAAAATATATAGATATATCATATTTTTAAGGAGTTAATATTGAAACTCGAGTATGAGATTTTAAAGTTATGGGAAATTTTATCTCATTTTAAGAGTAATTAACAATATTTATTCTTTAAATAAAAAATAAAAAATTAAGCGTAAGTAGAAACGTTTTTATGATCAACTTAAAAATAATTTTTTCTCTTCTTTATATCTATTTCTCACTTTAAACTAAACTTATGAAATAAATATTGTTAATTATTTATTTTAGTAAATAATTATTGGTTTGGCCAACATATGTTTGCTAAACAATAGAGATGATAATGGATCACATATATAATAGATACATGCTTTACCTAATTCAATAAATACCTATTAAGAATGTCCAACAAATTTTGAAGTGGATAAGAGTTAAAAAAATACATATCCACTAATATAGTTTTACGATATGAGTATCCACTCTTTATTATATTAATATCCATTAATTTATTTAGATTTTTTTATTAACATGTAAAAATCTAATTGCATAAAATTTAAAAATTAAGGATCAGAATATTTTTTTCAAAAATTTTAAGGTCCAAAAAAACTTATAAATAAATTACCAAAATATAAAATAAAAATAAAAATTTAAGGATCAAAAAACCTTTTCTTAAAAATAACAAAGACTAAAATGAATATTATTGATACATTAAATTTAGTAGCTATTTAATGGGTATTAAATGGATTGATAAATTAATATAAGTTAGGTAAAAATTAATATGATGATTTTTTAATGAATAATGAATAGGGTGTTCTTTTAATTGGTATGATAAAAAATTAAATTAATAGATTAGATATATATCAAGTAAATAAAGAATCATATCATCACTTGAATATTAGAATCAGCATCTCATGGTGACTCAATATTACTTGGAACAATATCTAATAGCTTTGCGAATTAAACTAGAAGTTAAAATCAAACAAAAAGGTTGGATGAGAGTGCAATCCTTTTGTCTTTGCACATACCATTGCTGTCTGCTGACGCAACTCTCCCAATGATTATCCAGATTCTTCTTCTTCTTCTTATCATGTATCTGGATTCTTCTTAATTTTCAAACCAATCATGAAATGGGAGAAAAAGATTACGTGTAACCTATATATATATACACACACACTCATAAATAAAATAAAGCAAACAGAGTCTTTTAGCTCCTGTGTGCAACAAAAGCAATGCCTACTGTATGTAAATTCTTCTTTCTTTAAACACCAAAAATATTCTTCTTTTTCCATAACTATGGCTTCGAAGCTCTTGTTCATGGCCTTACCTATTCTTCTCTCCACCTTACTCACCGTCATTTTTTCCTCTGAAGCATCCAATTCCGGTGCCAAAGTTAGTCAATTTAAAGAGTTTCCTATTGCGGATGCCTCTGGACCTGAAAGTTTTGCATTTGATTCACTTGGTAAGGGTCCCTATACCAGTCTATCGGATGGCAGAATCATCAGATGGCACGGAAATAAAAAGGGATGGCAAGATTTTGCTATAACTTCTCCAAATAGGTAAGTATATAATTTATAAACACAACACCAACCTTAAAAAAGAACCATTTTTTACGTTGGCATAAGATTAAAAAGTTCATGCCCAGATGTTGTCTAGGTTAATCAGTAAGTTGCATTGGTAGTTATCACTTATCAGCATCAAATTCAAGGCCTTATGTATTTTCTGCAAGTCTCTTGTAGGTTGGTCCTTGTCGTTTTCTCCACCCCAAAACAACCCGCCCCGCCCCCCCCCTTCTTTTTAGCACCAAAAAAGAATGGTAGGTAGTGGATAGGGAACAAGACTTATGGTAAGGCATTTATTGTTCTTACCCTATATTTCACGTTTTCGTTAAGAAGGTAAATATGGTTAGTACTTTAGGGTTTTTTTTTTTTTTTTTTTTACATCTAATTTCAAAGATTAGCTAGTTTTCCTTTCATGATCAATTTTTTTAAGAAATAATTATAAGTTTTAAATTTATTTCAATTCACTAAAAGAGATTATAGTATTCGTTTCTACTAAATAAACAATAAAAGCTATGTTTTCCCTAGAATTAAATAAAGTCGTCCCAAATTCTTGAAGAAGAAGAAGAATGAATGATAATTATTAACGAATTCCAATTGCAAATGGGATTGCACCTTTTTTATAGACTAGTTTATATCAAATGGAATATTTGATTTATTATTTTAGTCGGATTTTTGCATGAACTAATTTTAACATGTCAAGATTGACAATGTCCACAGGGACGGCTGTGGAGGGCCACATGACCACCATCAGACGGAGCACATTTGCGGGCGTCCGTTAGGTTTATGCTTCGACGAAGCACACGGTGATCTGTATATTGCTGATGCATACATGGGATTACTTAAGGTAGGGCGCGAAGGGGGCTTGGCCACTAAGATCGCGACACATGCACAAGGAATTCCCTTCAGATTCACTAATAGTTTGGACATTGACCAATCAAGTGGTGCCATTTATTTTACTGATAGCAGTTCACAGTATCAAAGAAGGTAAGCGAAACACGACATTGTTCTTTACCTATTTATTTAATTATATTATTTGGAGAATATTTTGTTTATACTCATAAAGTCCTCAATCCATCTATTGCGTCTTTATGAAAAAATTCGTCAATTCAATATTCCATCTATATCTATTAATATTTCCGATCAAACGTTCATATTGTATGAAACGAAAATACATCACTTTAAATATGATTTGGTAATTTGTATTTTGTTATAATGATTTGCAGATACTTTGACTTTTAATTGAGGGAAAATTAGATTTGGGACATGATCGAAAATAGGTTGATGACTTGGGGATGAATCTGAGGATATCCCAATTTCATACCGCTGATGAGACAAATAGGAATTGATGAAGCCATTCAATAGCTATGGGCTGCGGATGGATTTTCTTTTAGTCACAACTCTCTAAAGCTTTTGGATTGTGTCCATGCCATTATAGATACAGCTTTAAAAACTAAGACGGAGTAATAATTTTTTTACTAAAAATTAATCACCGTTCGTCCCTTTACTTTTTGAATTTCGTCATGTTGAACCTTTTACAAAAACAATATCGGTGATATTAAACCCTCTATTTGGCCATAAAAACTGACACGATAATAGTTTTCTTTTTGCTTCTCTGCTTTTTGATAATATTTTCTCTTTTTTCTTTAACCTATTCGATGTTAATTGTTGGCATTCCCTCTAAGGAATGGGAATTACTGCTCTTGGTGTGGTTGAATTCGGTCAGTTTTTATCCTTTTTTTTTTTTTTTTTTCAATTGGAAATTAGCTACGGATGCTTGTAGAGTTCAAGAATGGTGCTTAAGAGTACATAATTGTTTTTACTGGATAGGTTTAAGGTTTTGTTTAATTGGAGATTTTGAATGAAATAGGAATTATTGCTTCTTGCATCATTTCTGGATTTAGAGTTGAGAATCTGAGTAATTGGACTTTAAGTTTCGTTTTGTTTTCATAATTAAGAACAAATTTTGAAATTTTACAAAGATTTGATTTCTAGGTGAGAACTAATTAATAATAACAAAATTGCGATATGAGGGACAAATTAATAATTCTTGAAACTATAGCATCTAAAATTATTTATTTCTTTCAAATACAATTACTACGTACCTTATACTCCACTCTAATTTTCAGTAGTGTTTTCTTGCTTGGCTGGCCTGCTCCTTTAATTGAATAAAGCTAGCAATGCAACTGGAATTTTATAGCTAGGGTTCTCTACCCTCTACACCAAATGTGTTTTCTGTTTATAATAACCTGGATGATACATTTAATTGTGCAGGGATTACCTCTCAGTGGTATTGAGTGGGGATAAATCAGGAAGACTAATGGAATATAATACAGTAATCAAACAAGTGAGAGTACTTCTCAACAACCTCACATTTCCAAATGGAGTAGCAGTAAGCAACGATGGCAACTCCATTTTATTTGCAGAGACCACCAACTGTAGAATTTTAAGGTATTGGATAAAAACATCAAGGATTGGAAGTCTTGAAGTCTTTGCTCGACTACCAGGTTTCCCAGATAACATAAAAAGGAGCCCTAGAGGAGGGTACTGGGTTGGTATGAATTCAAAAAGAGAGAAGCTTTCTGAATTGCTATTTTCCTATCCATGGATTGGGAAGCTTTTGCTTAAGCTTCCATTGGACCTGATGAAGGTGCAATCAACCTTGGCCAAGTATAGAGGGAGTGGCTTGGCAGTGAGGTTGAGTGAGAATGGTGACATATTGGAAGTATTTGAAGAAAAAGGTGGCAATAGGTTTAAATCTATAAGTGAAGTAATGGAGAAAGACAGGAACTTATGGATAGGGTCAATAGATTTACCTTTTGCTGGCAGGTATAAGATATGAACTTTGCAGCTATATATATATGTATATAGTAGCTGGTCGTATTACAATATTTATGGTATATATGTTTCTTTTCATTTGATTTCATCACACAACTAAATTTTGTTTTCTATTCCGTTTCCTATGATTTAATTTATATTGATTTTAATTCATATAGCTAGTATGATAGAATTAATTTTTTGGTCATTTACCTTCCAAAATCTTTGACCTTTATAAGACCGTATTTTGCCATCCATGAAAGCTTAGGATTTATATGAATAGTACTTTTTCTTACTTGAAAGCTCGTTCGTAAATTTCCGGAAAATAAAAATTAATGTATTAATTTTGGCATTGCAAAATCAACAAGCATGTCAGGAAATGCTAATATAAATACATATTCCATGATTGGGAGAGGGGTAGGCAGTGCAGAGTTCAAAAGGCTTATCTAAACTACATGTGATCGATCACTTGTATGGTTGTAGTTTGTATTGAAAGAAGGAAAAAATAGAAGTCCACACACACACACATATATATAACGTTGATTTTGTAGTTTTAAAAGTGTTTTTTAAGGATGTATTTTGTAGTGTGACAAATCGGTATGTTGATGTTTATGGGGATAAAAATTGATTTATTAGCATATAGATAATGAATTCTAGAATTACCCTAAATAACATTTATTCATGGCAATTCAATTTGAACATTTTGTCCTTTAAGTTATATAAAACTTGAACGAAGACACTTAATTGATATTCTAAAAAAATGTAATTAATATATATATATATATATATGTTCCAAATTTCGAAGCTAGAATGTCAGAGGAAGTTGGTCAAGGATAAGAATGTCTTGTACGTTGTAAAAGAGATGGATTTCTGCAGAGACCCATTTTGTCAGCGATCCTTCTGTGTTTTTATCCAACTCTGACTGAAAGATGACCTCTGAGTCGATCGGTTGCCAGACCCAGTTTTGTTGGAACTTGGAAGGTACGTAGCATGTTTATAACTGACCAAAATGATCCTTATCAAGCAAACCTATCTAGTTTAGTTAGTGATTGTTGTTACATTTTAATGTTAAAATAAGTTTTAATAATTGAGTAAAACTAACTTAATTGAGCTAATTAAATAAATAAACTCACATTTATTAATAATGTACAAACTTAATTTTCCATATATAAATGAATAATAATGTTAAGGTTGTAATGTGGAGCAAACTTTAATCACTAGTTAAAAAAAAAAGTACTTTAATGGACTCTCTCACTTGTGTGAAGGATAGTCGGATTATTGCAACTTATAAGGCAGGCTTTTGCCTACTGCAGAGGTATTGACTATATTCACCCAAAAAAAAAAAAAAAAAAAATTAAATGACGGTTTAAATCATCAATAAGCGAAAAAAAAATCGCTAATTAAACTTAATTAATGATGATTTAAAGACTCGTCCAAAACCATCATTAAAAAGCTTCTCGCTAATTAATTAGCGATGGTTCAAGGATTTTGTGGTCAATTTATAGATGGTTTATCCATCGCTAAAAAATAAAAAATTTGTCACTAAATAACAGAAAAAAGGTCGTCAATTTAATGACGGTTTCCAAAAGACATCGCTAATTATGGTCGAATTTAGCTTGGATTTGGCTACGGTTTGAAATCATCGTTAAATCATTTTTTAACGATATTTTCGATCAATTATTTCGTCATTCACATGTCGCTAATAAGAAATATGAAATCCAAACCAATTTAAAAACTACAATAATAGTATAAAATAGAATTATAGAAAATACGAATCCTTTATAATACATAAAATACAATACAATATATATTTAAACACCAATTATATTAAAGTGTATTAATATTTCATCAAATAAAAACATAAAAGCGATAAAAATAGATAGTGTGATGAAGGAGCTACATGACACATATATGCATTTTCATCCGACGCATGATTGTCAATCAAAGGATTGGTGGGGGAATTACCTTTTTGCATATTCGGTAATATCTGCTACATCCGTTGCATTATCGTAAGTCGCTCCTAATTATGCTACTCTTGTTAGTGTAGGTGCCCAAGATCCGAGTCATATTTGGATAGGTTTGAGTTATTGTAGTATTGCATCATTTATTTTATTAATAATAAAGAAGTCTTTTTGTTAATTCTTATGTCTTATATTTATTTATTGAGTAGAATTAGATAGAAGTCTTTATGATATACATTTGTGTTAGTGATAGATCGAAAGATATGAGACAAATACTAATACATATAAATGATATCATTATATGTCCCAAGTCATAGCATTGTCAAGAATGAATATTGGCTATATGTGGTTAGATTTATGAGTTCTATGCTCATGCTATATGATAATAGTAGAAGATCTCACACCTATTGACATAATGATGCCAAAGCAAGCAATTAGGTGATTAATGTTAGAGAACATGTCACTAGACTTGACTCGTCATGAGAACCCATTTGGTTTAGTTTATGACAATCTCATATAAGATGGGTATAACCGGTCCTTAGAGTTAAAGTCATCATGATTATCTTATTTAAAGATTTATGTATTTTGACACTCGTTTCGATGGATTCGGTAAAGAGTTGCACATGGATGATTCGTTGGGTGCATTGAGAATCTAATGGAGGTAGGTGGATGACTAATATAGGACATGTCATTCCTTGTATACTAAAGGAGTTATCACATTGCATTTTAATGAATATCTCGCTTAAGAAATCTACGACCACGGTAAGAGTACACTAATAGAGCATAGTTGGTTTACTCTAAGAGCTAAAACATTTGGAAATCAAAGAAAACTTATGTGATCATAATCGAACAAGACTAATAACTAAGTTTGAGATCATACTCGATAAGTTGACATGAAAACGAAATTATATGGTAACCATGCTCGTGAAAGGTAATTACGGATTAATTAATCCTCCTAGAGAATTGGATAGTCATCATGCCTTGCTAGAAATCAATTTTGATTTACGTATCAAGAGATAAAAAAGTGTTTTTTGTTCTTGATACATTCCCTATATATCTTGAAGCCTATTGAGTCACATGCATAAGTTTATGCATTCACATAATAAAAGATATGCAAAGATGAAAAAAATTTATAATTTTGAAAGTTTCTTATTTTGGAAAAGGTTTTTGAAAGTGGAAATTTTCCTAAAATGGAAATTTTTTTATTTTAGAAATAAGTTTACTAATTTGAAGTTAGTTTCTAATTTGAAAACGAATAATCTAAAATGGAAATTAGTTTCCTAATTTAGGTTTAAGAGTAATTTGAGAAATTATTTCTTAAATTTGAGCCTTCTAAAATTATCTAATTTAATTTATTTGGATAGTCTAAATTAATTAATTTGGCCAAAATAGCTTTGGGCCAATAGGTTTAATTAAAAGCATGAAAGATATTTTGGTGGGAGGATAAACATAAACCTTATTGGATAAGGATGAATATTTTAAAGATAAAGATCAAAGCCCACATATTAAATAACTCATAATCCTTGAGGATTAGGAAGCAACAACTAAGAGTATAAGGCTAGTTGCTGCCCTTCCTTGTCTTTGGAGGACAAGGAAACTCTCCCCTATAAATAGGAGGAGAGTTGCGACAATAAAAAAAAAAATCTAAAAAGGGAGAGAAAACGGCAAAAAAGAAAAAAAAATGCTAGGGTACGTAGCTTGGTAGAAAATTAAGGAGAAAATAGTTTTCTTCGTTTTCAAAAATAAATACGCCACTTTCCACTCTTATTTGGGTTATCACAAAGTTTTTCTGATTTGATTTCTAAAGTAAAACACTAAACAAGTTAGAAAAGGTAGAGTTAACACTCTACCAATTTTGAGTGCTTCTTATGTGGTGCTTAGACTACATAGATTATCGATAGAGGTCGTACGCTTGGACAACTCTTTTATGTAAAGGTTTAAATCCTTGCTATAAGAGATAATTCTTTATTTATCATTTTAATTTATAAATATATGATTAGTTGATTCAACGACATGATCTTGGGCCCTTTAGATGGAGAAATTTTTTGTTTTATCTCGCATCTTTATAAGATGCATGATCCTTCGACTCCAACCACTTTTTTGATTTTCTATAAGCGATGTAACATTACCCTCTAATTTTTGGATCTTTTCTTCTTGTCTAATAGTATTGACCTCAACTTTTTTATGATGCAACTCAATATTGATATGTAACCGCAATGTGATCCAACTAGATGATGAATTGACATTTGAGTAATAATGAGAGGGCTATAACTTGAGTCCAAACATTCTCTTTCTCTTACTCGTCTTCTTCTTCAACGACCATCATAAATATCTCATTCATGTCGATGTCGGGGTTAAGTAGGTTAGCAACCTCCTTCTCAAATATTTTATCGACGAGTGTCATACATAATTGTATAAATTTTAATATTAAAAAGTAATCTCAATAAGTTATATAAAATTGGCACACATATTAAATAAGCTTATAAATTACTTACCCAAAGATTTTTTTCCCACCGATCGGTGAATACATACTTATCATTAACATTTTTTTTGTGAGTCTTCAAGAACACCTCCCGAGCATCGAGTTCACGACCCAACTCCTTATTGTGAAACAAATATACTTAAATATATATTGATGTTATAATAATTATAAATTATAAATTATATATAATTAGATTTTTCATGTGTATTGCATGCTCTCGTGTGTAATCGACACACCCATATTGTCTAGATTGGCCAATTTCGATACCACTCATCTTGCTCATGTGGTTCGACTTCCTTGCTCGGATCAAGTTCGAGACTCGGGTTTTTTCCATTCTTATTGTCATGCATCCCAAATCTTCCGTGAGATATATATTAATTTAGGGTGTGCCTTTACATGATAAAAAAAAGTTAGAATATCGCTTTCGTGTTGAACTCTACCATGCTTTCCTAAAACTTCGATCGAACTCCCGATCCCATATAAAGAACTTCTACAAAAATGTTAAAAATGTTCATTAGTGAAATTAAATGAACATAAACCAACTTAATTGAAATGTACTATAACATAATTAATTAAACTACA